GTTTAGCGGTATGTATAGGTGCATGGGATCCTTCTATATGAGGTTAGGAAATTAATGGACACAGTCTCTTCCGCTGGGGCAAGGTGAATGAATGTACTAATGAATGGACACAGTCCATTGACAGAACTGAGCCTAGGAGACTTACATGAAATTGACCTAGGCATAGGAAATGGAGGTTCCATATTGAGTCATAAGTGTAAAGGGGAAGGAGACACTCCCAGCAGTTGTCCGGTCCCTTTGGCTACTGGAGCCTCCAGTAGAGGAAGGAGACTTCCTCGGCTTGCCTATGCTCCAGCCAGCTGGTTCCTCTGCTGGCTGCCGCTGCACCAACACCACTAAGGTGGAGGCGGAGGGTCCTCCAACCCAGCTCAGCAGAGCTGGCTGGGGCGCCACCTGTCCTGTGTCAGAGTGCAGTGGCTTCACACAGCTCACAGCAACCTCCAACTCCCAGGCTTAAGCGATTCTCTTGCCTCAGTCTCCCAAGTAGCTGGGACTATAGGCGCCCACCACAATGCCTGGCTATTTTTTGGTTGCAGTTCAGCTGGCTGAGTTTGAACCCAACACCCTCAGCATATGGGGCTGGCACCCTACTCACTGAGCCACAGGTGCCATCCCAAAATGAAATATTTAATTGGTATCAAACTGAGTCTAACATCTTAACACCTATTACTTCCCTAGTGCTAGTAATCCTAGCACTCTGGAAAGCAGAGGCAGGGGGATTGTTTGAGCTCATGAATTTGAGACCAGCCTGAGCAAGACCAAAACTCTCTCTACAAAAATAGAAAAAACTAGCCAGGCCTTGTTCCAGGTGACTGTAGTCCCAGTGATACTGGAATTTCGACTTCATTAGGTTCTTGGTCTTAGTAATTTGAAGAATGAATCCACAGACCACAGATCAGTGGTAAGACAGGATTTTATAAAAAAGAATACAAAAACACCAAAGCTCCTGGCAGAGAGAAAAACCCCAAGTTGGGGGGGGTGGAAAGCTCTCTCTGTGCCTCTCTCGTGTCTCTCTGTCTGGGTTCTTTGTCTATGAGATATATATAGTCACATGGGTCCTTTGTAGCTACAGTTGGCCAGGATTTGGTAACAAATGAATGGATACAGTCTATTCCTGAAATTGGCTAGGTCTAGGAAACTTACATGAAATTGACGTACACTACTAAATTGGGGGTTCTCTATTCAGCCCCAAGCGCAAGGGAAGGGACACCAAGGGGCTGGTGTATCCCCAGCAGTTATCTGGTCCCTCCAGCTACTGGAGCCTTCTCCTGGGCACCCCATGCCTACCCTCCAGCCTGCCGGTTCCTCCCAGCTGCCACTGCACCAACACTGCCAGAGTAGAGGTGACAGGTCCTCCCCTCAGCTCCGCAGAGCTGGCTGGGGCACCACGTGCCCTATATCACCAGCTACTTGGGAGGCTGAGGCAAGAGAATCTCTTGAGCCCAAGAATTTGACGTTGCTCTAAGCTGTGATGCCACAGCACTCTACCCAGGGTGACCAAGTGAGACTCTGTCTCAAAAAAAGAGGCTTTCTAGTACCGTTATACCCATAGATATCTATGATACAGAATGCATAACTACCCATTTATTTCTGACCCTATGAAAAATGTATACCTGCTGGTCAGAGTTTATTGCTAAAAGAATAAGGAGAAAATAATTTGTTAAAGATATGTAGTAAACCAAGAAGACTAGAACTAAATTATTATAACTATGGGTTCAAAAAAGTTATTTTCCTTAAAAATTTGATGTGAAAAATCAGAAATGTTGGGGGAGGCACCTATGGCTCAAAAGGGTAGGGCACCAGTCCCATATGCCAGATTCGGCAGGTTCAAACCCAGCCCTGGCCAAAAACCACAAAACAAACAAACAAACAAACAAACAAAAACCCCAGAAATGTTTCTTCTAACCAAATGTGTTTATAATTAAATTGCTTCTGGAATCTCCTAAACTATTTCCCATATTGAAGTATACTAGGAATGAAGTAATCTATGTGGTCCAATTTCAAGGATATTTTTATTTCTGAATTCTGATAATGAAGGTTTAGTAAAACATTTACCTTTTTTTGACATGTACTATCTGCCAGACTCTCAACGTGCTGAAACTACAATTATCTCGTTTGTCTATCCTTAATACCACATTGATTATAAAAAAGTCTATAAATGTATCTTTAATTTTTTTTTTAATGCACACGGTCTCTTTCCCTCTCTCAATTTCCCATTAATTTCTAGCAAGGTAAATGTCACACTTTAAACTTCATTGTAGTTTTTTGTTGTTCATTTTTCTCAATTCACAGTCCAGCCTTTTCTCTATAGGATTTTATCATTGGCAACTTGAGGAAGATCAAAAGAGGCACTGATTACTGGGTGGGTCTGTCTCAGGACGGACCCAGCAGACCCTGGCTTTGGCAAAGTGGCTCTTCTCCTTCTCCCGACTTGTAAGTTTCTGAGTGAAATGTTACAACAGGAATTAGAAACATGAGGGAATTCAAAAGTGTACTTTAGATTATGCCTTAGATTTCCTCCAGGAGGCATAAGCAGCTTGATCATTTTATAGAATGCTGCCTGGAATTAAAGGTAATGTAATTAAGGATACCTCCAGGGCTTCTAAATCTTCTTTCTTTTAAGACCCACTGCTGTTATCCTCTGGAAAAATCAAACTGCAATTTGAATGTTGGAATGAATGAAACAATCATCAATCACATCCCTTTTATATCAATGTTTGGAGAGTGTTGAGGAAAAGAAATTGGAATGACTTTTTTGTTTTATTCTTTAAGAGACAGGGTTTCCTTCTGTCACCCAGACTGACTTTAGTGGCCTCATTATAGCTCACTCATGAGCTCACTGAAGCCTGGTCTCAAGCAATCCTCCTGCCTCAGCCTAAGAACTGGTACTACAGGCCTATGGCACTACATCCTGCTAACTTTTTTTATTTTTAATTTTTTTGTAGCAAAGAGCACCTTTTACTGTGTTGTCCAGGCTGGTCTCAAACTCCTGGTTTCAACTGATCCTTGGGCCTCATCCTCCCAAAGTGCTGGGATTACAGACATAAGCCACCATACCTGGCCTGGAATAAACTATTAAGCAATTTCCATATTAAGATTTCCAGATAGAACTATGAAGATTGGTGGACAGAATCAGGTGCCTTAGAGTTTTGGGAATTAATAGGGAAGAGATTCTAATTTAAAGCCTATCTTCATGTTTCTACTTCCCTTACGCCTGTTTATTCAAATTATATTAACATTATTTATGTTTTATTCTTATTATTTACTCCTAAGAATATCACTATAATCCCCAAATATAACCTCAAAAATACTGACTTTCCTTTCCAGGTAGCCTATCTTCATGTTTCTACTTCCCTTATGCCTGTTTATTCAAATTATATTAACATTATTTATGTTTTATTCTTATTATTTACTCCTAAGAATATCACTATAATCCCCAAATATAACCTCAGAAATACTGACTTTCCTTTCCAGGTTGCCAATACAAAAATTCCAGCCAACTAATCAGGCTTGTGGATACCTCAGAGACAATTCTCTTTTTACAGCTAACTGCAGCAGTTGGAAGTTTTTTATCTGTGAAACATATGCCTTAAGACCTTCTACCTGAAAGAAATGGTGCTCAAAGTGATCTATTACTATTTTTGAAACAGAACATGGAAAAACTCATCACAAAAAGCTTAAGAGCAAGTACAGAAGTAAATCAATGTGTGGGAAATGAAATAGTTCCTTGGAACTCAAATTTGTTTTTGAGTTTATACACTTGGTTATATTCAATACTTTCCAGATTTCATTTGCCACGGTTCTAACTGCCAAGAATAAAATTGAGGTAGAACTACCGAGGACAAAACCCTGAAGAGAACAAACGGAAGGAAATCACTTCTATTTTTTTTTTTTTTTTAGTCCAGAGTAATTTTTTAGTACAGAGTAATTGTAAATTCCACCCAGAAATCTATATGTCTATGTGACAGTTCTAGCTGATGGATATTTTATTCAATAAATAAATAAATTAACAAATTGGGCCTTTGAAAACCTTGTCTGCCAGATCTTTTCTATGTACTGTCTGGGCTTTCAGACGTTTATAAACCTGATGGGATGGGAGGACAGAGATAGGGATTTCTGAGTTGGAAGGAGGGAGGCTTCCTTCAGCAGACTGTTAGATAATGCTCTTTTTAGGACTTCAGAATTCTAGGAGAGAATTAAACTTTTAGAATTCCAAGTAAGTGGAAGAAATAGTGGAGATGCCAGTGTCAGTATGTCCGCTAGGGAAGGACAACCATAAGCTCCCTCTCACTGACCATCCTTACAACTCCAATCGAAGGGCTCATGGTCTGGACTCTTGAGGTTAACACTCCAGAACTTTTAACTAAACCACTCTCTCAGTGCTTCAGCTTCCTCATTGTAAAATATTAAGAGGACTTATTTCAAAATGTTGTTTGAGGATTAAATTATAGACATATGTAAATACTGAGGCAGTTGTCTTGCACAGAGATGAACGATCTATCATTGCTTGCTACTGTCACCCACAGTACATCACCAGTCATCTCTAGGCATTTGTACTTGTGGATTCCACTTAATAATGATCTCTTTCCTGCTCATGTTGCAGAGATATCGAGAAGATAAAGTTTATGTGTAAAATATCAACTCTCTGGAGAGACTATCTGTGTTAAAGTTGAATCCTACTCAAGTAAATCTATAGATAATATCTGCTGTAAATTTGAGTGCTCTTTTAAGCATGGAATATTTTGTTCCCAAGAAATAGTTAATATGAAAGTTCCTGCGATCTACAGGCAGAAAAGATCCCCTATTTATTATTGTATTACTTTTATATCATTAATTATCCCTAGAACACCACCTCACCAGATAGTAGATCCTCAATCAATATTTGCTAAGTTCAGCATAATTCAATCCTCTGTTTCTCACAAGGAATAGCTGACATACATTAGGTTGTCATCTTTTCTTCCTAAGAATAAAGGCATTGCTTAGCTAATTAAATCAAAAATAAAATCTAATTCTCTTTGACAGTGGAAATTATTTAAATGAAACTAAAAGTCCTCTTACCTAAAAATCGTTCTACAATTGGTAAGGTCCTGTAAGGCATATTGTTGTTTTTTCTTTATTTACCCTTGACTTGGCGTTTAAATGATGGAAGTTTCAATGAAAGATATTTTACGGTTTTTTCCCCCCCTGAACCTGGAATAGAAGAATAGCAGAGAAAATGCAGTGTAAGTTTCCTCCTGTGTTTGGTTTTCATAGTTGAGGGCAGCTCAGCATAATGACCAGGAATGAAGGAAAAACAATAGTGCTTTTCAGTAGTAAAGACTGTTTGTCTTCAAGGTTCTTCAAAGTATTGTCACGAAGCTATGTTTAGAGAAAGGATGGGAAGCATTTATAATTCTTTAGAAAAGTACAATGAAGCAAAAGGTAAACATCCTTCGCTGATGTCACCCCACTTACATGATGCAGTATTTACAAGTTAGAATTTTATCTGCAGTGCAGCTGACATAAGTTCCTACAAATTTCCTCAGCAGCAATACAGCTTTTCACACAGATGCTGTAGGTGGGAGAGTTTCCCCTGAAGGTTGTTTTTGGCCCAGGATACCCAGGCTTTTGAAAGACAGTTTGCAGTGGGATCGCCTGGTTTTATATCCTAGTCCCACCAATAATGAATTGGTTATCTTTGATCCATCTCATTGAGTTCCAAGTTAGCTTTCAAAAAGGGAAAAGGAAAATGTGGGGGGAGGGGTGGTTGTCCAATAAATGTCAAGAGGCTTTGTTACATAGTATGGTTAAACTACACGTATTTTTAATGTATAAAAAGAAAAACATCAGAATAAAAAATTATAGATATTATTATTAGAGTCTACAAATCTGCTCATACAATGAACCTTGTACAAAAGTCACGCACATTTTAAATCAGATTAGCCTGCTGTTTGTATTCTTCTAAAACTACAAGAATATCTCGACAGAGGATGTGACTTCCAAATAGTAAACAGCTGAGCGACAACCCACTAGACTCTTGTACTTCGTTTATAATCTTCTTGTGTCCCCAATGTAAAAGCTCCCCATTACCCTTCTCCCACTTCCTGCTGCTACGGGATCATGGCCTGTTTCCTGTTGATAAATCCTGAGAGCTTGTTCAATATCCTCAGGAAAAGAAATAGCTCCCCGTGGTGTACCCTGGGGAATTCAGCTCTACCAGGAAAGGCCCCGTTCCTTGTTTGACTTTTCCTGCTATTTCTTCAGAATTACCTACGCAAACAAGAGCCTACAAGGAAAAAAATCTCATCATGTAAAAAATCAATTCTGTGAGTTTATCTCTGATTCTCTACTGAATATTCTCAGCAAATTAGATTTTAAAATGCATTTTATATAATTATCTCTTATTCTTAAAAATGAAAAAAGAAGTTCATGGAGAGAATGTCGTACCATATTCTTTTTCTGTTGAAATGTTCATATTGTGAACAGTCTTACGAGTTTTGTTATACAGGTGAAGGGATTGAGGGAAAAGATGAAGAGAAATAATCTTAAGAAAATTAAGTATGTAAAATAAATGCTATTTTTTTTCCTTCTCACCATCTAAAGTGACATTTTTCCTTAGGTCCTAGGTTTGGAGTAAGGATACAATTCAACATTCACTTTCCAGGCAGACAGAGTCTTCAAAGTAATGGCACTCAACCACTGACTGCCACACTAGAAAAAAACATTTCTTTTTCCTTGGAGCCATGGTGTTTTAGTTGGTAAAGATAGGTCAAGGCAAGTGTGATTTATATATACTTCACAAGGCCCTGGGCTCAAAACTAGCATAGGTTAACTACAACTCATGAGGCAGTTAATGTGTTGAGGAGACACTTGTCATTCATCCCTGAGCTAGACTGGTTACCTAGGACGTCCAGAGTCAAAATTTAGATGAGTTTCACATTACTATTTTACAGCTTAGTCCACAAAATCACTTGACTTTCTCATGTTAACTACATTTTCTTTCCATAGAAGCAAAGCTTATTACCTTAACCAATTTCATTGAGCATCTGCATTCATCATAGAAAATATTTGGTAAGAATATCTGTAGCTTTCTGATGTAGGTGGGTGCCCCTCTGTAAGTGGTTCAGAGACACAGGTCTCTAGAGAAGAAGGTTGTTCGTGCATGTTCGTGTTTCTTTATATTTCAATGTGAATCACTAAATCCTTGTTTGATATTTTCTTGACTTCTTTTATAATTTATATTGTAATTTATATTATGAAACTAATGTCGGCT